GGGAGGGGTAGATTTCAGATGATAAGTTCGGGTTTAAATTCCAAACTGTGAACAGACCCGGTCAGTCAACATTATTTTTATTATTGATTAGTTAGATGGACAGCCATGTGACATCTGACAGACAACATTAGTTTAGAATATTATCTATTACTAATGTTCTCTCTGTTTGGGAACTAATCTTGCTAAAAATAGTATTGACAATAGGAACCTCACTTACCTGTTGACCCCAAATGAGATCTGTTCTGATAGCCTTCACTAATTAGTTGGTCTGTGTACTATGCTGCGGTAGGCATCTAGAATGATCTAGTGTGGACAGTGCACAGTGCTGTAGCCTATGAGCGACGTGGAGGACACCGGAGAGGACGACCGCAGGACCTTACGATCGGCTAGAGGACCGGTATCCCATGTGTCTTTAGGACCGGAGGGTGATAGGGAACTGTTCCGCCGACAAAGGGAAAGGAGAGCTAGAGCAGCCGAGGCCAGCAGGGCATTTGCTAGCGAGGCTAGTGCTATAGCAGCCATGGCTACCACAACCATGAGCACGTCTGCGCAGCAGACTTCCCAAGCCGGAAGTTCAGGTACCGCTGGGTCCATGAGTCAGTCCACTGGCTTAATGGCAAGCCAGCCCGCGGTGTTGTCCCCAGAGGATGTCGCCATCCAGCAGGCAGCCCTGCAAGAGGCACAGCTACAACAAGCATTAGAAAAGATAAAAAGGGAGAAAGAGATGATGATTAGAAGAAGAGCCAGGATGCAACAGAGAGGGGCAGACATAGAGGAGTTAGAGACGATGGACCTGACGCATATGGATGATGATGTGAAGGTAGTTAGGAGGGCCCTGCTAGGCGTAATTGAGATGCATGAGCATCAAACTACCCTCCTTCAGGACATTTAACAAAGCCTAGCCGTGTTGGCAGGCCATGCTCAGGCAGCACCATTACCAGCAGGGCCTGGTGCCTGGCCCGTGCCATATCCTCCTCTTTCTGTTCCACCGGTGACTGGGGTATCCCCATATTTAGCCCCTTCATCGGTTGCTATCGTTTCCTTGGGCATGCCTCTGTCAGGAGGGGTAACAGCAGGAAGTAGTTTGCAGGTTCCTGTTCAGACAGTGTTTACTCCAAGTCCGTCACAGGTTGCAGTCACCACGCAGCCTGCTGTCTCACAGTCAGTACAACCTCAGGGCACACAGCCCCAGCAGCTAGCACAACAACCTGGATCGCCGGGTCCACAGCCCGGGTTGGTGCACGGACCGGGACAAAGTCAGTGGGTTCCAAAGACGGCCATCGCCGCTCCCAAACCCTTTACAGGGGACAAGAGAGGCGAAGATCTCGACACATGGTTGAGGGCAGTGCCGGTCTATGTCAGGTGTAAACTCACCTTGCCACACGAAGAAGTGCTTGTGGGTGCTTCCTACCTGGAGGGTAGTGCAGCGAGATGGTTGAGTGGGTTAGTGCAACTCCAGGGGTACGGTCATGACTTCCGCTCTTGGGCAGCCTCTCAAAAATTGGAGGCCTTCCTAAAAATGGTGGAAGACAGGTGGCATGATCCGCAAGAGGCTCAAAAGGCCACTGATGCGATCCTGACACTGCACACTCGGCAACCTCCAGGAGGGAGTAGGTGCAGAGGCAGGTGGCGATACTTCAGAGGGTGGAGTAGTCGCCGCCGTAACCCAACAAAAAGGTAAAGGGACCGGTAGACGCCCTAGGGGATCCCGGTCGAAGAGTCAAACAGACCCCAATGCTCCTCCATTGGAGAAAGCGGGTCTAGCTGAGGACGTGTGGAGAGATCGGTGGGCACGGCAAGCTTGTATCAAGTGTGGCCAATATGGTCAAAGCATGTACAAGTGCCGCAATAGGAAGGTCACCGAGAAGATCCCGCCCACTATGGGGTCGGCAGTAGGAACCTCTCAAACCGTTGGTAGCAACGTTGCTAGTTCTTCAGGCAGTGCTCCGGGAAACACGTCGGGCCAGTAGGGATAGTAGTTGTT